AACTTCTACAAATAAGTTAGAGTTGGGAATGATAGTGCATGCATATAATCCCAGCACTCTGGGAGGCTGAGACAGGAGGATCACAGAAGATTAAACTCAGTTGGGGCAACTTAGAGACTTAGTGATACCCTGTTTTCAAAAAATAAAGTTCTGGGGAAGCTGGGAATGGGGGCACACCCTTGTAATCTCAGCTCTTGGGAGGCTGAGGCAGGCGGATCACCATGAATTTGGGCTATGTGGCAAGCTCAAAGCCAGCTTGGACTATATAGTAAGACCTTGTCTTAAAGAAACAAAACAAAAAAAATAAAGGCCTGGGGATATAGCTCAGTGTGAAGACCCTGAGTGCAATCACCAGTACTACATAACAAATAAATAAACAAATACAAACAAGTTGGGCAAGATCAATAAACCAATAGAAAAGTGGCAAAGGATTTCTCAGAAGACAAAATACAATGGATTTTAAATGTGAAAAAAAAATGCTCAGACTTGTTCATAATCAGAAAAATGCACACTAAAACTATAGCAATAGACCATCAAATGCTAAAGATTTAAAATTGTGACCACTCATTTTAATACGAGAAGGAAACATGTGAAGGACTGGGTTCTCTTGGATGCTTATTTATAAGAATACAAATTGACACAGTCCCTAAACAGAGTAATTTGTAATATTTATTAAAATTGAAAACATAAATAATCTTTCACCCAATAATTCCAGTTCTCAGAATTTATCCTACAATGTGTCTTAGGAGAGGGGGTGGTTGCACATCAGAGCACTCACTGCAGTGTCATTTGTAAAAGCAAAAATGGTCAGCTGAGAACTGATTTTAAAACTCAGGATATAATGCTGGGCATGGTGGTGCCTGCCTGTAATCCCAGCACTCGGGAGGCTGAGGCAGGAGGATTGCTGTAGCCTGGGCTACAGTGAGTTCAAGGTCAGTCTGAACTACATAGCCAGATCCTGTCTCAGAAAAAACAAAAAAATCAGGATATAGCCATGCAATCAAATCCTTAAGAAATAGGACAGCATTTCGCATGGATGAATGTATTAAAATAGAACATTTCCCCAAACACCATTAGCAAACAAAGCCCGGTAAAGAGTAATGCGTGTCATATTTTACCCGTTTGAGTGTGAAGAAACCGGCGGCAGAGGCTGCGTCTATGAAGAAGTGGCTAGGAGTTCAGGGTGGGCATAGGCGCACTTTTTCTCACACTTCATGAATGATGTGCGATGCTCACGTTTACCTACTGACCACTTAATGTTCTCGTCGGAACGTACAAGGCCAGTGACAAAGCTGGCTGCACAGGCGGAGCTGGGATGCAGATGCCACTTACCAAAACGGAGCGGCATGGGCCACGGGTACAGGGATCAGGAAGGTCAAGTTCAACAAGAGAGTGCTAAGTTCACATGAGACATCAAAATGAGAGTGACGCGAAGACGGGAAGAAACAGGGATGAGGCTCAATAAAAGCTCAACTGCAGAACAAGCGGGTAAATATAGACGGGACACAGGAAAAGGAGCTTTCAGCTGCTGAAAGGGACCTTCGGTGGCTGCTGATGAATAAAACTTAGAGCACAGTGTATGTATTTGCAAGTCGTTAATAAGAGCAGTATAAGAAAGACTCATTTTTTACTGGTTACAAACTCGACTGCAAGTTGGTTGGGCCATAATCTCTGTCCTGTTTCTGTTTAGTCACCAGTGTATGATGATTCTATTGATACTATTTTTGTAGGGCTTAGGAAGGAATATAAATCCAACTTAGAGCTTATTCTCAGTTCAAAAGAGATCCCAGGTAATCGTTAATTGACTGACACCCGGTAACCATTACCCAAAACAACACGGCCGTGCTTTCCTCGTCTCACGTGGCTGCTGCTCAGTTGGGAAGTGCCCTAGTCAGGGACCATGGATAAAAGTTGCGGAGGAGCGTGCGCCAGTGCGCCTGCCTTACATTCGTGTTCAAAGACGCAGAGGCAATGGTGCGGCTGCATCTGCACAGACCTGGGAAAGCTGGCTACCCGGTTAGATGCTCGGGGAAGACATTTTGCTCCGGGTGATGGAGTGCCAGGGTAGCGACGGTGACGGTTGTGAAAATAAATGTCAGCGTTGTCAGCCCGCTTGACAGAATCCTTCTCCGGCAGTTTCTTCCCCGAAGCAGTGCATGGGAAGAGAAAGGGGCACGGAGCCCATTTCCGGCGTGTAGCCCTGAACTCTGGCTGGGCTGCTGGGCTAACCAGGTGAGAAGCACAAACAGTGACCAGGTTTGCTCTTAGGTCCTTGCTGCTCACGTTTCTCCCAACAAACAGGGCTGTGCTGTCATCTCAGGGCCCCGGGCTTCTCTGTACAGCACCAGCGGCGGGGGCTTCCGTTGTCAAATGAGGGATCAGTCTATTATTTCAAGTTTTAGGAGGATCAAGCTGGGATTCTATTTCCATTCTATTTCCCAATAAGAAAAGTAGTCTAAAAATACTGTAGTTTAGACTCTTTCCTAAAAGGGTCTTTGTGGCTAATTGCAACTAGTCTTCTTTGACAGCCCCAATCGGTGAAGCCATTTTGCTAAAACTTAAGCAGTACAAAAATATGCAGCGTTAGAAAGGAGCTTCAATATAGCCTAGTCCGACGGCCACTTTCACCCCACCACCATGGTGCTGGAGATCTGGGAGAGGACCCATTCAAAAAGCAGTGGGCATCTTACAGTTTTTCTTGTTTTCCTAAAGGAAAAAATGCTGTTTGCTTTGTATGAAGAAATTAAGCTATTGCCTTTCCTTCTTTCCTTCTCTCTAGAGACAGAATAAAGAGTAGAGATGATACTTCAGTCTCTACAACTTCATATGAAATCATTCTGTAGGATTTAAGTTTTCTTGAAATGAAAAGGATAAACTGTGTGAACTTAGTTAAAGCTGGAGGGAAAAACTGATTGGACATCCTGTTGTCAAGGAAACCAGTTCACCCTCACCTCCGGCTCCCAACACCTGTTAATACAATGACCTTTCAACTCTTCATCTGCCATCCTAGAATTATTGCCAGATACCCGAATGTTCTGCTCTGGAAGCCTGCGCAAGGACTGGAGGGAAGTGAGCCTAGTCATCAAACTCAGGGAGGACTTTCTCTCCCTCTGGGAAGCACAGCTGTACTCTGAGTCAGTGCTATGTCTCGGAAGCACAGGAGACGTCTCCAGAGCTGGCATCGCCAGCTGCAGAATGAGACTAAAGGACAGACAGAGCTTGAACGAGAACTTTTCAAAGCAATAAAACAGCACAAGAGTGGAAGAAAGGTAAACAACTCAATCCCCTGACACTTTATTGAGTACCTATCATGCTTAATGCAGAAGCTGTGCACAGCGACAGAACCGGGTCCAGGCCGAGTTAGGAGGGTCACAGAGAGTGAGCAGGGCTGCTGAGTACTGAGGATGTGCCCGGCCTTCATCAGTGCCAGGTTTGGCCTCTTGCCCTGATGGGAGTTCAGCCATGTAGCTCAGTTTGACCAATAGAATATTAGCAGACAGCACACAGCAGTGTTTATCCTCCTTTGCTTTCACTGTGAGAGGACCCTGTCCTAGTGGCCCTGCCCTTCCACGGAGACGAGAGAAACAGCACAAGGACCACTGCCACCACCATCCCCGCCCAGCAGACACAACAGGAAGTCCCGGGGCTCCTTCCAGCCAAGCGGCGCTTAGACCAGCCAGTTCCAGCCATCCCTTAGACACACCATAAAGAGTAAACTGTTATTAACGTTACTGAGTTTGGGGGGAGTCGATGATAAGGCAATTGACAAACTAATATAGAGTGCATGGAACACAACATCTCAATTTATTAACTTTTCAGGACCATATAAAAAAATCAGAGTAGGTAGAAACACTTGGACAAAACTATGGTTCTCTGGGGTAGGGCCATTTTGACAAAGAGTACCAGCCAATCCTTTAAAAAAAAAAAAAAAAACCAAACACTAAGAATAAGATGTCCCAAACCCGTGGACCAAAAGGCTTGCAAACCAGTGGGCCCCATCAGGATGTGCGCTAGCTATACAACCAAACCTTAATGCACCTAGAAATGTTATCAAACATTACCAGAGACCTGGAGATCTAGAAAAAGATACTAACACGCACCCGGGGCTGAGAAGTGGTGTAGAAACAGACTACAATGACTAGAACTCCAGTGGGGGAGGGAGACATACACTGGGAAACTAGATTACGATTCAAGCTTGTGAACTCTTGAATAGAGAAAGTGATCTGAACTGGACCTTGGGACTTTAGAAACGGGCACATACCCTGAAGGATAAGAAGAGAAAATACCGGAAAAATAAAGGGAAAGGTTATATTACGTTGCATGGTTGAGAACAGGGGTGACCAGAGGACCCAGTATATCGGAGATGGTCTTGGTTTATGCTGTTGCCCTGGGTAACTAGTCAGACTGTTTCCTTCCACTCTCAGAGTTTGCTGGATTGGGTGATAAAGTACATTGCCATCTTGTTGGCAGCAGACTTTACCCCTAGGGTTCAACTGTGTGGGCCTAAGTAAGATTCAGATAAGCTCACAGGGAAAGACTTGCCACAGGCTGTCCAGGGAAAGAGGACTGTTTGCTCTGAGGCGTGGAAGGCCACCATGTCCCTGGGAGTGCCTCTGTCAGCATGGCGGTGAGAAAAATTAAGGCACCCAGTTCAGCAAGGGTTAACTGCTCAGGCTGGCTTTGAGCTCACTTTGTAGCCCAGGCTGGCTTTAAACTCGCAAGGATCCTCCTGCCTCAGCCTCCCGAGTGCTGAGATTACAGGCGTGCACCTCCACACCCAGCACAGCAAGGTTTTAAATCCTGGGAAGTATCTTTCATGCCAGTGTGGTGCCTATGGGCTGCTCCACAGATCTTGTCTAGGAATGTTGTCTGTCCCGCAGGTAACTCTTGTTGTGCCCCCCCATATAAATGCAAGCAACATCCCTGATCTTTATTACTTCTACATCCATTCAACATGCAGAAATCAAAACACAGAAAAGAAAAGAAAATGTCCTTCTTACCCACATAGAGGTCCGTATAGTTTTCTGAGCTCCAGTTGGCCATCCCAAAAACCCTGAAAAACAACACAGCACTACAGTAAGAATAAGATTAAGTAGACTTTCATTTATTCACACTTATTCAGCAAAAAATCTGAAACAGCAAGAACACCATTAGATAAACAATAAAAAACCTGAAGTTATATAGCTTTCAAGCACTGCGGAATCTTGGATAAACAAATGGCTTTTAAAAAATATTGCCAAGTAAAACTCTCATGCAGCCCTGCTTTAATGGACTGAAGAGATCATCAGTACTTAGACTACTTGTGCATAATTGCTGCTAAGATATTTGAAAACTGTTTGCTTTCTCAGTTATCATATACCCTCTGAGATTTAGTTCTTACTATTATTATTACTTGGCCAAGTTCCTTTTCATGGTCCCTGCATGTGTAAACTTCCACCAAATTTATCCAAATGATCACAGATTCTGAATTCTTATGATCTAAGTCAAATTTGAACTAAAACCAACAGATCTTCAACATGAGAACCTTATTTTATGTAGGACAAAACACGAGGTGGAGTGTACCTTGAGAAGCACGTAGGGTGAGATGGGGCAGAGGGTTAGAAAATGCTGGCCACAGTGATGCAGGGATAGGGCTACGGAAAAGAGATGGGAGAGTAGGGACCCACAAAGCAATCATGTAAGGGACTGGATGGTTAGATATGGTGCGCTTCAGTTACTGAACATATGCATGAGTTTGGGTGGATATAGGGGTGGAAAAGCCTAAATTTATGTTGTACAAATGGAATAAAAAGGCAGATACATAGAGGTGTGGTAGAGTTGAGGGGTAGAATAGATGTCCTGGATAGAAATATGCCCTGTTCTCATTAGATCCCCTGAATTTTCTCGTCTATGTCTGCTGTATATCAAGGAAAGCTTATATGAACATAAAAATAGTCCCTGAAATGACTGTGCTCTAGAAAGAACTTGGCAAGCTTTGTACCTACAGAGTGAGGAGCTGGAAGGGAACATATGTGGAGATTATCCAGAGGCACAAGCTCAGTGTTCTCCAATTGACAGCTATGCTGTTTGCCTCAGATGTTAATACCAGATTAATTACTCAGCGGAATACAACGGATCATCACCCGCCCCCTGCAATAATGTGTGAAGTTTATTTTCTTTAACTTTCCTATCTAAGACGTTGTTCTATTTTGCTACTTTTAAATTTCTTCATGCTTGCTTCCAGGATCCATAAGGTGTCACGATAAGGTCGTTGTCTGTGGGCTCTGGCTTCAAAATTGTGAACTGGTCGCCCCCAGAGAGATGGAGAGGGAGTTTTAAAAGTACTAGAAAGGAAAAAGCAGCAGATAGTGAAGAAGGTGGGTGGACAGAGAGACAGAAAGAACAGAAGAGAAACTGAGAAGGGGGAGGAACAAGGAAAGAAATAGCTGAGGTTACTTTTGCTAGAGCCAAAGACCAGCCTTTCAGAGGGCAGAGATGGGGCAACCCTGAGGAGCCGTTAAGGGGTTTATCGAGGTGAGCTTAAATTTAGCCCTTCCTCTTTTCTGTGGCTCTCCATATGTGGGATCTGTTTTCTCCTGATATCAGTCTGGTGACCATGTCCCCATAAAGCAGCAGAATAAATCAATTAGGTTTCTGAGAAAACCCACTATGAAAATAAAATAACCTTGAAGATCTGGGGCTCTACCTGCAGATGGCTACTGTCCACCTCTGCTCATGCATCTCTCTGACAAATCAAAGACAACATGCTCAAAATTGAACATGTTTCTCCCTCAACCAGCTACCCCCCAACCTTTTACTTCTGTCACCCCACATTCATTCTTCCTTTGCCCAATGTTTGATTCATTTTGCCAAGAATTCTCACACGTTCTTAGTCACCAGAATTCTCAATTTTGCCCCAAGTATTCTTTGGTCCTGGCTGTCACTGTCACCTGTGCCAGCCTCTCACACTTCAGCCTAGACTTCAGCACAGTCAGATTCCACGGTCCTGTGCAATTGTCCATGTTGATGTTCCTCTCCTACTAAAAAATGATGTTATGGCAGTAAGTATATGAATAACCCTTCTAACCTGTGAGTAAGTTGGCTTGTCTCTCTCTGTCACCCCACAGCCCCCAGTGTTCCCCAACTTTTGGCATCTCATTGGACCAGACTTCTGGTCGACCTGCATTGTTGTTCTTCTGTTACTGCACTCACATGTGTTGCTCCCCACTTGGTCTGTGTTCCTTGTCTCCAGTTTCTGTGAGACCCTTCTTGGGAGCTTCCCTAGGGTGATTTAGGCAACAGATTTCTCCTCTGAAGCAGTACCAGCACTAGTATCTATAGTAGCTAGCCTAGAACTGGGAATAGCTTAGCTGGTGTCACATATCCTTGTTTGAGGGTGTTTGAGAGTGTAAGTTACCTCTACTCTTTCTGCATTCTAGGGCCTGGAGCACTTGATGCTCAGCAAAAAATGAATGAATGGATGGATGAATGACAGGACTCAGTATATACTGGTGGGGGATAGGGATAGACCATTGTTGTCACAGAAGAGCTCATTCCAGGAGGGGAGGGCTCCGCACTTCACACAGCCCCTTCACACACAGACTCCCCAGGCCAGCAACCTGGGCAAGAGCAATGCTTCGTGGGAAGCCTGCACTGTACCCAGTAAGTCAGGGCCTCACCTGGCGGAAGAAGGTCAAGTTCCCAATGAAAGGGGACGGCTTGGGATGTCTGATACCCAGCTTTTCCAGCACTGAGAATGCTGATGTAGAGTACCTGGAGAGAGAAGCACATTTTCAAAAGCAAAAAATTAACATTTGCATTCATGCTTTTGGCCCCATGTAGAAGCCCTGAGTTCTCAGGAAGTAAGGACAGAAGAACAAGTTTCTAGGACCCAAGGGGCCGAGGCCTAGCAGTGAACGAACAGAACAGAAGCTGAGAAATTCCTCCTGATCAAGTGATGGACTACAGATGGAGGGCTCTGAAAACCTCAGGGGTCAGCACTGCCTTGGAACGGGGTGGTCCACTGCCCCCCCCCCCAGAGTCCCACTGATGAACCCATTTCATCCAATTTTGGTTCTTTTGCCTCTAAATCTATCATGAGCAATTGCTCAGTTGGCAAGGGAAAAAAAAAAACCACCAAAAGACCCTCAGTATGGCACAAAATAAGCTCCTCATGCCTGTCTATTTTCTTGGTCAAAACTGGGCCTCTTGGCATACATAATTTTTCCCTCATCACATTCCAAGACTGAAGAGAGAAAAGTGAAAAATTGGGATAAAAGCAAACCATGGAGAGGAGACCTTAAGACCAACTACTTATAACCTCTTTAAGTCTTTGTTTTCTCACTCTGCAACCATCTGGGAAGCATATTTTTTAACCAAAAATCAGGAAGCATGGTCGGACAGATTTCTGCACCACTCTCCAGGAAAAAGCAGCAGTCTGAGGAGTGCAGTATGGCTGTCAAAACATTGGAATTACTAGGATTTGCAGCAGTTTATGGGAATGGAGGGATAGCACAGTTAGAGTCAGAACCAGCTTGGGAAAACCTGGACGTATGGCTCAGATCCTGACTCAGCCAGCCAATTAGGTCAAAAGTTCAGTTAGTTCAGAAAAATTAATGAGTCAAATTGGGTATTTAGCATCATGCAGAGATCAGCCAATTCGCAATTCAGGGGCAAGGAAAAAACAACAGGCAACAGCAGCACACAGTCTGGCTTCCCAGGAGCGCCGGAACTCAAAACAACAACAGCACAACACAGCAAGAGCAACAAAACAATGTTGTAAGCATCACTCACTTAATAGAAAGATGGGTTATTTACTGTGTTCTTAGACCTTTCCTTTCTCATCTGCAGTCCAATAAAGAGCACTTAAAATGAGAACATTTCAATAAGTGTTCAGATATTCAGGGAAAAGACAACCCAACTTAAACGTGTGCTTGCATCATTCTGAGCAATGGGTCTATTTTTAAAGTGGCCACAGAGGAGCAGTAGACAGGACAGAATGGGAAGGCAGGTGGTCGTCTCAGCTTGCCTAATATTGCCAGCATCTGGAGGGTGCTGTTTATTAGGTTTGAATGAATTCCCAAGATGTCACATTGAGAACACGTTCAAGGGTAATTACAAACCATACTGCAGAACCACATGCGAATTGCATGGATTAGTCATGCCAACATTCCTCTTCATTAATATGTGTACCAGAGGTTGACAGCACAGTTGGTAAGTTATTCTTTCAAGCAGAAGGTAATATTTTAAATGACTCCCTTATACCAAAGGGGAAAGATCAAAGGGAACTTAGCAGCTCACTTAACACTGCTTCTAACAGTCTCATATTGGGAGTCGACATTCATTTCTTCATCAGTTTTTGTGAATTCTTTTCTAAATGTAATCTCTAATGGGCAGAAAGAAATATGAAGATCTTGGGCCACATAATTACATCTTAATTTTGTAATTAGATGTCTTGATTGTCTAATTAAAGGACAAGAAGTCTGTGCCTAATTACACATGCTAATTATTATGCAAACCCATGCCCTAATTATGTAACTCCACTTATGAGAACACTGCCCGTGTGTGTCTGCACAAAATTCAGACATTTACTAACATATGGCACCAGCAGAGTGTGTCCCGAACATGACCACAAACTTCACTTTGCAGCCTGTACCCAAGTGGAGAACATAAGCACCTTACACTGGAAACTGGCCAGATAGCACCATCAGTCACCAAGGTCCCTGCACCCAAATGGGCAGCGGGATCACGGCCACCAGATTCACAGGCAAAATTGCAAAGTGGATCTATCTGCCTCACTCCCACATTCTTCTCTGCAGCCTTGTTTCAGACTCTCTGGTCCCAGGGTTGACTGTCTGTCTCATCATGCTCTTCACATAGTGGTAGATTGATACATTCAAAAAGATAAGCTGAAGTCCTAACCTCCAGGACCTCAGAATGTGACCTGATTTGGAAATAGGACCATTAGCAATGTAATTCATTAACATGAGGACATATTGAAGTAGAGTGGATCCCGAACCCAAATATCCTGGTAGGAGCAGGGCACATGAGGACAGAGATGCATGTGACTATGAAGGCAGAGATGAGAAAGGCACAGCTGTGAAGAGAGGAATGTTGAAGACTATCAATAAGCCCCCCAACAGAGCCACAGCAAGAAGAAACACCAAGATGGCACCCAGGACTTGGAGGCAGATTTATTTACCTCGACAGGTACTGATCAGGATCATTTTCAGAATATCAGGCCCTGATCTCTCTGTGGTCTATGGCTTATATGGGATAAGCAAGCAGGAAGTACAGAGGCAGAATGGCTTGTCAACTGGGTACTGGTTTATACAATGTACATCACAGTACCCAGCTGTTTCTATGAGACAAGAGCAACCAGAACTGGAATAGGAACTGTTACCTGGGCAACTAAGAAACTGAAGTATACTGGCTGAGGGGCCATTTTCTGTTACTTTCCCAGCCCTCTTTCAGTTTCCCCAGCAAATCTTTACTGGGCATATTACACGTGATCTTCTGAAACAAGGCCCAACTAGAAGCAGTAACATTAGGGTTATCAGTGATCCTAGGATGGGCCCTAGCCAAGCTCCCCAAGGTTGTCTTATTAGAGTTTTTTCCTAAATTGTTTTTAGGAAGAGACATAATTTAGGCCTTTCTGTTCTGTAACTTTCCTCTGGCAAGGTAGTGAGGGAGTTAATCTGATCTTGGAGAGGGTCCAGTGTGCCTTGGATGCTCATCAAATCTTGGTGAAGTATTTGATTGATTGTTCTATTTTCTTGGGACAACCATCCTTAGCGTTTAAGGCAAAAACCATAGCTAGCAAGGGGGCAGGGAAACAAGAACTAGGGTAAGCAGCCTAAAGACACAAAAATCAAAGGGAATAGATATGGAGCAATCCTGTGAACAGTGTCCTCAGGCTTCAGCTGTGCGTGGACTGGTCAGCATCCACAGGGACCAGAGCAGGGCTCTGAGTGTGTTGTCTCTTCCAAGTGACTGTCTGGTCCAGGTAAATTTTTAGCAGATCTAAGGCTGGATTTCTGAAACTTGTAGAGATCATTAATATGCACCTGGGTTATATATGTGTGAGTTACAAGCTGTTTTTTAACTTTTTTAGAGCTTTGTGGGCTGTATGCTGTATGTAGTTTTTATTTAATCTAGTTTTTGAGTTACCTCTGCTACAAATGTAGGCCTGTTATTGCTGCCAGTGATCAGGGGTAGGACGTATCTAAGGATGACTTTTTTACAGCAGGATCCTACAAACTTTTATTGTCTTCTCAGTATGAGTAGGGAATGGGAGGTCAGGGCTAGTGACACAGACACTGAAGCCTGAGCTGGCTGCAGAGGTACGGGTGCCAGTGCAGCAGCTTGAGCTTGCAGAACATATGGTGGAGGCAAGTCTCACGGCTGGGGTTGATGTTTCAGTCAGTTGGATCCCCAGAGGGGGCTTAGGCCTTTGGACTGGATTATTTAGTGTCACTGGTAGCAGGTTTCCAAACAGCAGCAGAAGGCAGTTTGTGGTGTAGGTCATCCCTGCAGGAGAGCTTTGGCTAAAATAGTTTTGTCCAAGGTGACCACAGCGTATCTAGCCTGTTGTACTTAATTTCTAATAGAGTTACTTCCATCTGTTAGCAGGGTCTACTCAGCATCTGTCAGGGGGTCCATTTTTAAGAACAGTTCATCCCAATATAGCATGTGGCATCTGAACAGTTACATCTTGGTCTAGGGTGAGCTTGTCAGCTTTCCTGATCAGAAGGACAGTAGCTGTTAGAGTGCAGAGCCAAAGAGGGGAGGCAGCCCTTAGCAACCAGATCCAAGTATTTGCACAGGCAGGACACTGGGCACTCCCAGGGGCTGACAGTCTCAGTAAGCATCACTGCTTTTGTGCATTCAGAGATCCAGATTCTACAGAGGTCAGCAGCTCAAAGAAATTTTCGGAGTTGTTCTATAACCAGTTTCTGCCAGATATTGTAGCAGAGCTTTTGTGCTTTTCCAGCAGGCAGCTTGGATGTTCCAGAACTGGGGTCTTTGTGAAGAGGGGCTAGCTGACAGGTGCCAACCGAAGGCAGAAGAAGGCATTCTTTAGGCTCAGGCAGGTGTACCAGCAGGCTGTGGGTGGCAGAAGACTGAGGCAACATATACAAAGGGCAATTGTGGAGGCACTGGCAGCCTGGAGATCTTGAACTGGCTTTACAGGCAGGAGAGGTATATTTCAGCAGCTTGACAGTCTACAAACATTTTGTAGTTTTGAGACCTCTGGATGTGTGGTTGAATTTCTAGCAGAGTCTTTCATGGCATGGAATACTATTTGATGCAGGTGGGGATTGCCTCAGGATGGAGTTTCACAATAAGAGGCAGGTGGTTGATGGCCCACTCTCAGGGCTCAGGGGACAGTGACAGAACTGTGGAGCTGGAAAGGACAGAGAAGCAGGCTGTCTCAGAGCAGCTAAATCTGTTACCAGAGCCTCCCTGAAAATAGTGGGAGAGTTTTTAAACCCTTGTGGCAACAGTTCAAAAAGGGGGCATGAGAACCACAGAATGTAAGGTGATGGCTGCATTGTTCATGGCAAAGAGATCTTGCCCAAGGTGACTAACAGTCTGTTTCTGGATGCTTGTTTGTGCTTCCCATAACATCGGACAGCAGTGGGGGTCATGGTGAGGTGGCATGGTTGACGGCCAGGCCCAGAGGCAAGTCTTTAGTCTATACCTCTGGGAGGAGAGTTTTCAGAACTTCAGGATTGCTATTTTCTGTCTCAGGCTGCTGCTGGTGTCATTTG